AAAACCAGGCCTTCCGGAGAAAGAAACATTCTAAGTAGTTTTTCCACATCTCTGATCTTGTTGGACACAAAATACATATCTCATCATATCTCCGAACATTATTCCCAGAAGGTTCCCATTTCTGTTCGGGTCTTAGTTTCACCCCATGTCTCCTAAAGTGACATAGGCGTGGTCTAGTGGTCTGAAATGGGATACTCCCCATGATGCCCCAGTATAAAATCTGTTGATCATCACTCTCCCCGTGAAAATTATGGCAGTGTGTCAAAACCTTGTACCCCTGTAGTTGGGCCACGGCTTATAGACGGCCGTGGGTTTTGGGGGGTTTGAGGGGTGTGGGTGGTTTGGGGGTTTTGGGGGGGGCTGATAATGTTCTTGGCTACCCGCCTTACAAGATATTCTCTTGGACTTGCTGCTACGCTATCCACTCTTCTCTTGCACCGTACCCTGGCACACGCTATCAACTTCTTCTTGTAACTTGCAAGACACTCTTGATTTTCGCATTGTTGTTTCTTGGGGGGGGATTTGGGGGGGTTTTGGGGGGGGGCTGATAACGTTCTTGGCTGCCCGCCTTACAAGATATTCTCTTGGACTTGCTGCTACGCTATCCACTCTTCTCTTGCACCGTGCCCTGGCACACGCTATCAAGTTCTTCCTGTAACTTGCAAGACACTCTTGATTTTTGCATTGTTGTTTCTTGGGGGGGGTTTTGGGGGGGGGCTGATAACGTTCTTGGCTGCCCGCCTTACAAGATATTCTCTTGGACTTGCTGCTACGCTTAAAAGAGAAATGGCCATCACAAAATGAGTCAAGGTGTGCATTCAATGATCCAGCAATGGATGTGGCGTCAAACAATTTTGCCGTGTTCTCCCAAAGAATTGATGTCATGCCTTGTCGATCTGCTGAAGAAATATCATGACTTTCAATGACGGCTTCATCCACTGAAACAAATAGTTTGACTGCATTGCAAAATGACTAAAAAACATATTTTTCCCCATCTAATTACGAGATGAAGCCGCTTTAACCAATGGCACGGCTGCGTGAAAGATCCAAAATGGACTGGAATGCTCTGACCACTGTAAATCAGCAGAAAAACAAATGCTCAGCATTGCTGGTGTGCTGAATTCCTCACGGCCGCCTGTGAGCCGTGTACCTAGTTCACATCAAAATAGCTGGTAAATGGATGTTCATCCCCCGAAAAATGGTATTTTCATAGGTATTGATCCATACCCTTATCACTATAATGGCATCTCCACAGGCTGAAGTCGCCAGGTTGCACTGTTCAAAGGTCCACACATAGCTGCCAGCACGGCAAAGGCACATGAGATCCGTAGCGCCGTGGCATGCATACCAGCCTTAAAGCCTTGCATCCTGGAACAGCAGATAGCGCCCACGTAGCATCCCAGGCTCGGAAGGCTCGAAAAAACCAACGCGCTGAGGATCTGCGTCCAGAGACCCGAGGGAGCATCCGCACTCCTAAGGTTGGTAGGTTGGTTGGTTGGTTGGTTGGTTGGTTGGTTGGTTGGTTGGTTGGTTAACAGGCCCAAATGGTACAGACCCAAGGGTGGAGCTATAGTTGGGGAGAAGGGCGGCCAAGCGCGACCAGCCAAAATATCCATCCACAGTTGAGCCAGCAAAATAAAACGCCACCGACCCCACCAAAAGAGAAGAAACATCTCCTGATCACTACATCAAATTGTGCTATGTCATCAACAGCTATTTGCATAAGTGTTTCCTTATGAATATTGACCCAGACTCAGGAACAAGTAGGGAGCAGACCAGAGCAGCAACAAAGCGCCAATGGCATGCAATATGCACAGGGTGCTGGATAGCGAGAGTGTCAAGGGATTTCCTGGCTGCAGTTCACCCAATCACTATTTACCCTCTGGTAATTTAGCATGTTGCTATGGAAAATGGATGAAGATTGCCCGTTTATAGACGATTTGCAGATGAAAAAAGGGTGGTTTTCCGTAGCTATGTTAACTTACCAGAGGGTACATGATGTAGATGCAGATGAGGTGAAAATTGTTTTTCACTTAGGAATGGCCATCGTTAAACAGATCCCAACCAAAACATCAGTGAAAAAAACAGGCAACTACACAGAAAAAATGCAGAACATGTGTAGCTTTAGGGAAAAATCCAACTCTTAAGAACAAATAAAACTATCAAAAGCATCCAAAATATACAGCAAATCAAAATAAATGAATGAATAATAAGCACATTAAAAAAAAAAAGGAGAAATCATTACAGTAGATAAGTAAAGAAGGAAATAAAAATTAGATATATATAAAGAAACGGTTTAAAAACATCCTGCTGAAACAACAGCTGCCAAGCGCTGTTCATCCCCTGTATCATGTCCCTCATCTCTCGAAGCAAATTCTGTAGCCCTGAACTCTCAGCCCCTTGCAACGTCAGGCAGTCCATACGGGCGGTCTGTATCCTGGTTGGTACATCCACCTGCACAAAACTGTTGATCGGTATCCGGGACCGATGAACCCCTTCC